GATGATAAGAATACGGACCTACCACATTATTTCTGGATTATCTTTTTTTTTTATAATTTTTTATTTTTCAAAGATTTTTCAAAACATAAATGTTTCACTTGCAGCCTTTCAAAGCCACACATGCCCTCACACACCAATACACAGACACGCCATACAATTTAAGGGCCTAGCATCATTTTCACTCTAAATTGTACATAACATATCATTATCATTCGCAAAGAATTACATGTATCAAACAAGCACCAATCCTCATCATCATCATCAAACATCAATCATCATAATCATCATCATCAAACATCCAGACTATTAACCAACAGAAAATATAGGTGGCTACGGAATTTGGCCCAGCCCATACCTTCTATGGGATGAGTACACACACACACACTCACACACCCTCTCTCACACGTATATACACACACATCCTCACAAGATCATACACACATTACATATGACAGATGGGAAAGGGTGAGGCGGAGGGGAAGGAAAGAAGGGGCAATGGATTGAAGAGGGAGAAGAGAGAAAGAAACAAGCTGGAGGGCTTTATCAGATACTGTCTATTTTAACATTTACAGTTAATATATAGGTCAAAATGAGGAAAATGAAATAATGGTTGAAATTGTGGTGATGTCAAGGTCAATGGAGAAAGTAGCTCAAGATATAATTTATAAGTCCAAAACAGGTTTCCATTTTTTCCAGTTGTTTTCAAAATTCCTTTTTATGTGACAATTTTTAGAGGAAACAATATATTTTTGTACTCGGAAGTGATCTTTTATTGTATTTATGAGACCATTTAAACTTAGAGTTTTGTGCAGACATCTTGTCTTGTATATATATTGTTTAATAATAATCAAAATTTCATTATCTACTACATTAGCCGTAGGAGAAAGAATACCAAAGAGATAAGTTTCTTTGTTCATCCAAAATGGAATAAAGAAAAGGTTGATTAACGATTCAAATCTCTCTAACAGTGTCTGCACCTCGACACACTCCCACAAACAGTGTATAATTGTCTCCCTTTCCATATTACACAAATTACACAAAGGACTAGGACTTAAATTAATTTTGAAAAGAAAAGAATTTGTGACCAATATACGATGAATAATTCTTGCTTGGAACCACTGAAGTTTTGAGTTTTTAGTGATAGTAAATGGGATTCTTAGAATATTTTTCCTCTTCTGTTCATCAAAATCAAACTCTATCCCCCATTTTTGAATTCCAGTTGGTATTGGTGGTCGTTTAATTAAACAAATATAAAAATCCTTTGAACCTTTTTTACTTTTGAAAAATATTTCATAAAAAAGTGGTATGAAAGGTTGTTGAATCTGTACAACCTGAAGTGTATTCTTCCGTAGAAATTTCTTCATAGATGTAATTAGACCAAAGTACTGCAGATAGTTGGCGTTGATTGTTGGGAAAAGATTACCAAACTCATTAAAAGAATAAAATGTCATGTCTTCATAATTCTTTACAAGGTCATTTATGGTATGTATACCTGCATTAAACCATCTTGGATAAAAAACACATTTATTCCCCACCTGAATGTCTTTATTATACCACAAAGGACTTTTTAAGACAGATGTGATATAACATTGTCTAAAAAGTTCCGAGTTAGTAAGTTTAATCATACTTTTAAATACATCTTTCCAGAATGGATTTCTACAATTTAGGCAACAAGAATTAACATATTCTATCCCACAATTTAACATTTTTTTCTCATCTATAATAGAATTCAATAATATTTTCCATTTCCCTGATGAGTGAAATATTCTTCTGATCCAGCCAAGTTTGAGAGAATCTATGAAAGCTACAATATCTATCATTTTTAATCCCCCGTCTATGTAGTTCTGAATGACCACGTCTTTTTTTATCTTGTGTTGTTTGCCATTCCAGAGGAAATCAAATAAAATAGAGCTCAATTTACCAAGAAAACTGTTGGAAGGATTTGGTAGGGTAATAAATAAATAATTGAACTGGGAAATTAATAAAGATTTTATTATACTGATTCTACCTAAAGGAGTAAGCCTTCGTCTTTCCCACACATTAATAAGAGCCTTTAATTTAACAAGTTTCTTATCGTAATTCATTCCAGGAATTTCACTAAGGTTAACACAAAAATCAATTCCCAAAAAAGTAAACTTATTCTTACCCCAAATTAGATTTAACTCTGGAAGAAAAGCTTCCTCACTATATTTCTTACTTCCTATCCAAATAACCTGTGTCTTACTGGTGTTGATATTTAACCCTGATATCTTAGCAAAAGTATTCAGCTCATTAATAGATTCTTTTAGTGATTTTTCAGTTCCATCCAGAATCAGACCTGTATCATCAGCATATTGCACATTTAAAATAGACACATTATTAATTTGTATACCCTGGATATTTTCATTATTTCTAATTCTTGCAGCTAGAACTTCAACACTTAGTATAAAAATATATGGGGCAACTGGGTCGCCTTGACGACAACCACGCTGAATGTTAATTGGTCTAGAAATGTTACCCCCCTGATTAACCACTGAATAAACATTAGTATGCAGAATTTTTACCCACTTCCTAATATCCACTCCAAAGTTAAAGTAACGAAGAACATTATCAATAAAATCCCAAGAAACTGAGTCAAAAGCTTTTTCAAAGTCGACCATTAGTAACATTCCTGGAATATTCAAATCTTCTGCATAACGCATTACATCATAAATAGTACGGATGTTTTCCCCAATATAACGCCCAGATAAGAATCCCGTCTGATCTTCATGAATAAGTTTTCCTAAAACTGATTTTAACCTATATGAAATTACTCCAGATGCTATTTTATATGTAATGTTCAAGAGAGAGATTGGTCTCCAATTTTTTAAAAAATGACGGGGCTTATCTCCCTTAGGTAAGCAAGTTATAACACCTTGTCTCTGAGTAATTGAGAGAAGGCCCACTGAAAAACTATAATTAATCGAACGAATCACAAAAATACCTATGAAATTCCAAAAAGTTTTAAAAAATTCTGAAGTAAAGCCATCTGAACCCGGACTCTTATTGTTTTTCATATCTTTCAATACCTTTCCTGCCTCCTCAAATGTTATAATACCTTCTAAATTATTGGACTCAGCATCAGTTAACTTAGGGACACTGCAGTCATGGAGATGATGATCCAAATCAATTGGGGTAACTTCTTTATGTTTGTATAAGTTTTCGTAAAATAGTTTAACTTCTTTTAAAATATCATCTTGATTGGTAATTATGTCCCCATTATCTTTCTGAATTTTTGGAATAATTTTAGAAGTAAAGTTTCTGTTTTCAAGATTTAAAAAATACGAAGTTGGTTTCTCCCCTTCCTCCACCCATTTGGCCCTTGACCTAATAATACTGCCCTTTATTTTTTTTGACCGTATTGCTTCAAGTTCTCTTTTTTTAACATCTAATTCTTCCTGGTCAGTGTCTATATTAGCTTCCATAATTTCGATAGATTTCTTTAGGTTTTCTTCTTCAAGGTTCTGTTGTTTCTTTCTATGAGATGCATATGATATTGACTTGCCTCTTATTTCCATTAACAATGTCTCCAAAAACAATTGATCATTAATTAAGAATTGAATTTCTGTATTAGGTAAAAGCGAAACAGAGTTAAGATTATATACAGGTAGGCAATATTGTAATTTTATGTCATCTATACATTTTTTAACCATGTCTAAATAATCTAGTTCAAATAATAATGAGTTATTAAACTTCCAGAGACCTCTTCCTCTTTTAAATTCATTTAATTTTAACGCTATTACTGTAGCCGAATGGTCAGATCTATAACTTGGTTCTATGAAAGATTTTCTTGTACTGGATAATAAACTGTCTGAAGTGAGAAAAAAGTCTAGTCTGGCCTGCTTAATAGGATTTTTTCTTCGCCAAGTATATCTCTTAATATCTGGATGAAGTTCTCTAAAAATGTCTATAAGATTGTATGTCTCACTGATTTCTAACACCTTCTCCCTAGCAGATGCATTGTTGATGTTTCTATATGAGTTATCATAATCAAGCTCAGGGTTAATCACGAGGTTAAAATCGCCACAGACTATTATATTTTCATTTCCAAAGCTGTCAATAGTTTCCGAAATCTGAGTATAAAAAATTGGATTATCCTGATTAGGCCCATAAATGGTTATAAGTGTCAATCTACTACCCTCAATATCAATATCAATCCCTAAAAAATTTCCATCTAAATCACGTTTTTCTCTATAAACTTTACTTTCAAAATTATTATTGAGTAAGATTGCTACACCACGAGAATTTGATGAGAAAGAACTGAAAAAACTGTGATACCCCCATTCATTTCTAATTAAATTTTCTTGTTCTGTTGAAAAATGAGTGTCTTGTAAACAGTAGATGTGGTATTTCTTGTCTCTTAAGTATGAGAAAACATCCTTCCTCTTAATTTTATCACCAAGACCCTGACAGTTCACCGAGAGTACACAGATATCATCCATAACTGAGAAATTGAATGAATGCGTAAGAGCAGCCTTCCAGCTGGGAAATAGGAAACAAGACAAAGGGAGAAGAAATGGGGATAAGAGGGGGGAAAGGTTGTGATAAAAGCATCTTACAAGGTCAAGAAAGGAGCTACACCACCACTCAACACTTACACACAACCTATTGGCCGTGAAAACTTCGGACAATCAGACAATTTGTGCCGCTATACCGGAAATGACGAACAGGAAGTGTTGATACTAATGCACGGAGAATGAACCGGCCCGCGGAACTGTCCGGAATAGACCGGGGGACCTCCCGAGACCACCCGGACCGGAAGTATATATAAAACAACTACACGTTCACCAATTATATTATAGCATACATGCATTTCTGTAAGTTATATATAATATCCCATATAATACCTGGCTACTCAATATAGGTTATTAGCAAGATATTATGGACTACCACGGACTTAAATACTACTACTACCTACGACATCCTCAAAATATAGCATATACATACCATTTATTTTCGGAGCTTAAAAAATCTTTCTTAAATTACGACAGTTACAAATATATTATTTATAACAAGCTATATGCTCACTTTGAATGACGTTACATGTGTATATCTCATTATCATACTTTAAAATCTAAAGTCACAAAAAATACTACGTAGTTATTCTTACCTTTTACAAATGGAATTTCAGTAATGATATATATCCTTTTCACACAGAAGAATTGATCACACAACACACATATACATGTACACCACAGAAAAAAGCACATTAGTATACAACACAAAGGTGATCGGTTGCCAGACACACTGGCATTAAGTCATTTACCGATCACTGTGCACTGTCCAACTTCTATCTCCTTGATACAAAATTAGCATCGTTCATCAAGTAACTTTCTTCCAAGGGTGTATCGTGTAAAAGTCTGCGCTTCTTGCCATTAGTCAAAATCACATATATTTTCCCGTCTGTGCTATACGAATTTTTGACACAGTTCATACGGAACGCTTCCTTCAGTCTCTGTTGATTTAAGGAAGTAAGGTCTTCATAGATAACAAACTTGGAACCTTTCAGGATCTTGCGGGCGCGGATAATTTCATGCTTCTTTCTCCGGTGCGTGAACTTTACTATCACATTCCTAGGATTTGTACCATTGTACTTTCCCAATCTATGTGCGATGTCAATGTCCCTCTCCTGAAGTGGTACTTTCAAGGTGTCACGTACAAATCCCACGATCGTTTGGACACAGTCCTCTACCGATTCCCTCACTCCCGGGTCTGGAAGTCCAACGATTCTAACAGAATTCTTCCGGCCTTGTTGTTCCAGGTCGTTATACTTTCCCGCCATCTCACTCTGTCGATCTTGACTGGTCAATAACTCGTTCTCTAGCTCAGAAATTGTCACTTTCAAGTTGTCATTTTCAGTTTCCAGGGTGTTTACCCTCTCCTCCAGAGCTTCAATACGTTCTGCGTGTTCTAGCTGAATGTCCAAACGGAGTTTCTCTAACTTTTTATCCAACACATCCTCAGTAATAAGATTCCTGAGGATCTCATATATCTCGTCTAGTCGATCGTCTGTGGATTTAGTACCAATACCACTGGTCCTGCTGCTGGGAGCTCGATCTCGCAGGGTCTTGGGAGGCATGATAAACAATATCCAGTAAACAAAAAACTAAGCTCCAGAATATATAGGCTGTAGATAGTCCATCTATAGGTGTACACATACACGGCCAGGTATACGTAAGTGGTGAGTAGTGGTCAGTGACTAGACTCAGTCCATGTTCTCAAAAGTTCCTGCTCCAAAAGTATATTTTCCGAAGAAAATATCACAGACCGATATATCAGTCAACTAGTTAAGCATATTAACTAGATGTTGACAGAAAATTAAGTTCCAATATATCGTGCAAACATACAAAAAGATAATTTTTCACCGGAGCTCCAGAACAACCGACCGACTAGGTCCTGGTGACCCTTGACCTTTTTTATTTCTGGATTATCTTGTTTTTAAACTAAACACTTTCATCGTAGCTCTTACTACCATTCCTAGTACTTATTGTGATACTCAAAAAAAAACATTTGACCAATCGTGAAATTCTCTCTCTCTGAAAAAATCCTTCGATTTTTCCAGTCTGTACACTACCCTACTCCATTCTAAATAGAAAAAACCGCCTACATTGTATTACCATGAAAACTTTCTCTTTAAAGGAAGTGAACTGCTGGTTGTGATTGATACTAGAGTTTATGTCGTGAACGGTATTTCTAAAGCCAGTAAAAATTCTACTGTATCGATTTGGATTTCAAACTGGATATACATGTATGTGGGTACTTTCAATACGAATTGTACTTCCTCACATGGTACATCCACACAATACTACCTCAACACACGGTATCTCCCCGTTCGGTCAAACGGATTATTCAAGAGAAAATCAAGCGTGAATTTCTGTACTTGTTAAATGAAGATAGAGATATGAAGCTGACATACAAATAACATGTTATATAGAAGGCTTTGTATTGGTTTACAGAAGGTTTGCTATGAAAAGTTTACAATTAAACCACAAATTAATCTATAGCTGATAATCAAAGGTTCAAGTGTGTTTCCTTTAAGACAATCCTCGTATTAAAAAGGCACTTTTACCAGGAATCTGCTGGGACCTTTTCCCACATAACTTAAGAGAAATGTTGTCAAATAGAACTTTCTTCAGTCTAAATACTTTACTCTCAGTGTATATACCATGGCCTTTGACGTGTTTTGATATTTCAAAGTTTCAGTATACTACACTATGCTTTCATCCATATACAGCGTTAGCGTCATACTCTGAAATGACAAAATCAAAAAGATATTCCTTCAATTGTGAATGAGTTGTATAATGTGTGGTTCTATCGGCATTATATGTTTAGTAGCGGATATTTTCGATCAATCACACACTGGCCTCGGACTAATGATTTATGGTGTGTAAGGATCCCTCGGCACATTAAAGACAAATACACGTATACAGGGATACAGTAACTGGCTATGATACGTTATCTGTGGGTCATGAACATAAGCACTACATTATATATTTATCATAGACCTGGTTCAGGCTGATTCATGTATGTAGTGTTAAACGTTTGTTAAAATATATCAAATTCCAACATCTCAAAATGGAACTTAAAATTCTTTTTAACATCGAACTATGATTCAGGTTTAAGTAAGAATTATCAGAATTAAGCTTTATTCCTTTCTACTGCCTATGTCTTGGTTTCTGAAGATCGCAGAATGACACGTCTTACAAGTTAAAGAGTGAAGACAACATTTTACCTACATTCGCAACTGGTCGAAGTTTCAGTTTAAGGTAGGATGTTAGAATCAATGAAGACAACATATGCAAGATTTATGCTGACAAGTAAAACAGATATATTTTAATTACAAAACAACATTAATCCCGAAAATAACAAAAAGATCAAATCAATTTCCTTTTTCTGTGTCGATCGGAAGGCCTCATTAAATATTCTGTGAATCGTGTCCAGCAATTACTAGTAATGGAAACTGTAACAGGGAACGTAAGCAGACTAAAACCATGTTTCTTATCACCAGACTGTCGTCTGACCAGAACCACCGACCGGGTTCACATTTCATTATCAATTACAGAGGTGAGTATTTATACATATTGGGGGGACATACCCATATCGTGATAACGCACAATAATTACAGATACGATTTGGGAGAGTTGTTCATAGTTGTTATAAACCAATAGCTGGTATATATCGAGGGAGCATGTGAATTATTACAGGTAAATATATCATCATCTCTCTAAGATGGTTAAAAAACGTCATTACAAGTACAAATAATACATGCCCATCTCACCTGTAACCCATACATACACAAGAACTAATGTAACCAGGTAAGGTTCGTGTGTTCTCGGACCGTAGGGTAGTAAACATTGCATCAGGTTTCCCAAAGGTAAGATACGACAGAGTTGTATGTCAACTGCCTAAACATCTCGCTGTAAACGAACTGATAACGTTCAAGAGTGCTATACATAAACACAACGCGTGGAGAGCTAAGTAAAGCAGGGTGGGGATCCGTTCATCATGTTACGGAGATCCTTGAGCTCGGGTACAGCTAGAAAACGACGGGCGCTATCGCACATTTATTGTCTGGGAGAAGTAGATTTCAGTGGTGACTTGACACTTCAATGTAAACAATCAGGTTTCCCCTACGCAATGGAGGACATAATGTAGTCTTTAAAACGATTTATGAGTCACTTATTTGGTTTTATGTTTAGTCTAATGACGTTAGTGTATTATGAAATACAAACTTGATTTTTCCTCAAAAATTATAAGACTGACTCATCTAAGATCACCTGATTATCGCGTCATTCATTTAAACGCTATGCAGATTATTAGTCCTTTATATGGTTTGCCTGATTTGTAAATATACCTTTTAAATTTTTCAACAACACGACATCGATATATCAATAACACATTAATTAATTTTTACAATTAGGTAAATTTGGTGTCTATTTTTACGAATAGCATTGACAGGGTTTTCTGACAGCATATATGACGCACTTAAACATGTTTGTATTTTCTGATGATTTATTATCCTCTGTAATCCTAGTTGAACAAAACAAACGTCAGGAAGAGACAGCACCCGCGTTAAGGTTATCATGGTCATGCAGGCGTTTTTTTTCGGACGAGAGTCATGAAACGGTATCTTTGCTTTCCTTATTGGAGATTAACAAAAATTGTATGAGTTAAAAAGATAAATAACTTTTCACTAATATATTGAAAATCACAATAGACATATTTAAGATCTGTAAAACTTTGTTTCAGTGTATGAAATCTCCTCGTTGGTATTCATAACTAGTCAGTGAAGAGTACTTTTCAATCAGTATAACTGTATAAAACTCACACAAGTGAAGGGTACCTTACAATTAGTATAACTGTACACACACAAGTGAAGGGTACCTTACAATTAGTATAACTGTACAAAACTCACACAAGTGAAGGGTACCTTACAATTAGTATAACTATACACACACAAGTGAAGGGTACCTTACAATTAGTATAACTGTACACACACAAGTGAAGGGTACCTTACAATTAGTATAACTGTACACACACAAGTGAAGGGTACCTTACAATTAGTATAACTGTACACACACAAGTGAAGGGTACCTTACAATTAGTATAACTGTACAAAACTCACACAAGTGAAGGGTACCTTACAATTAGTATAACTGTACACACACAAGTGAAGGGTACCTTACAATTAGTATAACTGTACACACACAAGTGAAGGGTACCTTACAATTAGTATAACTATACACACACAAGTGAAGGGTACCTTACAATTAGTATAACTGTACACACACAAGTGAAGGGTACCTTACAATTAGTATAACTATACACACACAAGTGAAGGGTACCTTACAATTAGTATAACTGTACACACACAAGTGAAGGGTACCTTACAATTAGTATAACTGTACAAAACTCACACAAGTGAAGGGTGCCTTACAATTAGTATAACTGTACACACACAAGTGAAGGGTACCTTACAATTAGTATAACTGTACACACACAAGTGAAGGGTACCTTACAATTAGTATAACTGTACACACACAAGTGAAGGGTACCTTACAATTAGTATAACTGTATAAAACTCACACAAGTGAAGGGTACCTTACAATTAGTATAACTGTACACACACAAGTGAAGGGTACCTTACAATTAGTATAACTATACACACACAAGTGAAGGGTACCTTACAATTAGTATAACTGTACACACACAAGTGAAGGGTACCTTACAATTAGTATAACTGTACAAAACTCACACAAGTGAAGGGTGCCTTACAATTAGTATAACTGTACACACACAAGTGAAGGGTACCTTACAATTAGTATAACTGTACAAAACTCACACAAGTGAAGGGTGCCTTACAATTAGTATAACTGTACACACACAAGTGAAGGGTACCTTACAATCAGTATAACTGTACAAAACTCACACAAGTGAAGGGTACCTTACAATCAGTATAACTATATGATTATTTATATCATTATAATAATTATTAATTATTAACAATCTTGTAACTTTTACAACCCTGATAATTTCAGAAGAACGTCAAATACATTTGTATGCAAGTAAAGCCAAACCTCGAGAATTAAAATCCACCCTCAATGTCTTCCACCTGCAGTCTCGAAGATTGCATAAGTGAAGTTCACCTCTCAATATATTCATATTACCGGTATATGGTGAAAATGTACGGCTGATGCGAGGCTGAGTCTGAGTTTAGAATGATTATCCTTTAAGTCATATCATGCCAGTCGAAATATGTTTAGATTATCTGTATATAAGGCTGGCAAGCAAAGAAAAAACATTTGTAAATTATTAAAATTTTTCAAATCGAAAAACGTGAAATACTCGTAATTTATCAATAAAAGATTTTACCTCATAGTTTAGCCAGCGTACGACCGAAGGATGAGAAAGAAAATTTGAAATACAGCTATATTGAATATTTGTAACCTGAGCTTGACCTAGATTTTAGTCTTGTGGAGGGCTGTAATTAAGGATTTATCTAGAGGTGTTGAAATAATTAACAAATATTTTAACAAACTTCAGGCCTTTTTTCACCTGTTTTGTTAAAGTTCTTTAATT